ACATCCTGACGACACGATTTTCACAGAGAAGCATCTCACTGTGTTTGTGGAAGGTGATCAGCCGGAAGGTAATCTTTTAATCAATATACCTACCGTATCGTAAAATAATAACTTCACCAAAGTACACGGTTAGAGAATGTTACAAACAAACTGACAGAATTAAACAACTCCATCAACTGATGAGGGCTTCCGATTGGCGAGATCTTTTAAACCTATGGGGTTACCAAAGGTGACATTATGCAATTAAGAATTTACGTATGGCTGTTTCCCAGTACGGAACTTCGGCTCCGTCTCAGGCTTCAACTGTTTTTTAACCACCTGACTTTGAAGTTGTAGGCTTAGTAATAAGTCTGATAGTGTGACAAAACACCAAGTAAGATGCAGAAAGAGCCAAGCATTATAGCATACTAAACGACACCTGAGACATAGACGAATTTGAATATTGGAAAACTGCCATGTGTTTATAACGTAACTTTCTATAGACAATTGGTGTGCTTTTCACTCACGTTCCATGTTGCCTTTATTCAAGGTGCGCGTGGTTACCTGGACAGCCTACGCTCACGCACGACGAAGACTACACGCGCGCCTTGAATAAAGGCAATAGAGTAACGAAGTGTGACGTCACTGTGAACCCGAAAGTGCAGTGCAAACGAATGGAGAACGCGCGTGTTGCTTCACGCGCTGGTTTTCGCGCTAATGACACACTAATTGTGCGCGTGACGTATTCACTTCGGTACTCTATTAATCCTGGGGCGTAGTATGCGATACAAGATATCAATGAGAAAGTTACTTGTTTTCTCTCGTACAGGACCTGTCGGTTTGTATTTGACAAATGACAGCTTAGCACTGATTGAAGGCCAACCTGTCGCATTTAGATGCACCGCAGTCTGTGTGCGTAGACACGCCAGCTACCATTTCCGATGGTACGTCAACGGAACACTACACAAGAGCGAAGAAGACGAAGCCGCCCCTGCCTTCATCCGCCCTCAATGCTACGATTACTTCGAGACTTTCATCTTTACACCTTCACGTACCGATGCAGGCAAAAGGGTGAAATGTGTGGTTTCAAGGGACAACGGTGTCGACATTCAGAATATCAGTGCTCCTCTCCAAGTATCATGTAATATTAAAACCACATATTGTTATTAATGTTGCTGAATAACGTCTGTAATTAATGCTTGGAAAACCATTGAGAATTGTTGTCCCATCTCCAATACTTAGTTTGTAATGAATAATTTGTTTTTCCTATTTGCTCACATTGTGGATCAATTTTGAAATATTTCTGGCGGATTGCTCAATTATTCGGGATTAATATAAATAGTATAAATATACAAATATAATAATATATAAGTATATTAGTATATTACAGTTTCACTTTAGAACGAAACAATGTCTCCAGTGATGAAATTAATTGTTGACATTTTTTTAATTGTTGATTACCAATATAACTGAAAATGGAAGTGCATATCTCTTTGTTGACCAGATAACCCGAGGAACACAGCAATTTGTGTGAAATCTAGGAAATCTAGGAAGACTTGTGATACCTGCAGGAACTGCACACGAAATGCTACAGTGGGAGAAAACCTAGAGCTAAGGTGCTTCGCTGTGGGTTCCAACCCAGCTTGTCTGCTCACCTGGGAGGTCATAGCTCACAACAGTGGAGATCAACCACCAGGAATGTATCATCGTTTCTCATCGACGCTCCAGGATAACATAACATATAGCTGGTACTCAGAAAGCACGATTTGGATGGATGTACCGACCGCTGTAAACTCTTTTGATGTCGTATGTAATATTTGGTATCCCGACCGTGCCACACTGTTTAAAGTGGAGCATTTTCGGATCCTTGTTAAATCCAATAAAGGTAATTGGTTTTCTGTTCATTACTCAGAAATCACAGTCACTGTTCACCGAAGGGTTATTTACATGGAACTGTTCTTCACTTGCCTTCGGACATTTTAATTTTTCCAAACAGAACTTTAGTATATCTTGGCTTCAGCCACGTTGCACAAAAACGGGTCTTGCTTAATCTCGAATTATGACTTCAATAAGTTTACTTATTATTTTCAGGCGTTTTTGACATAAATCCCATGTGGAAGGTTCCGGTTATTTGCGTTGGATCTGCGGCCATGTTCGTGCTTGTGGTCTGCATTTGTTCTCTGGCTGTGAAGAAGTGGGCGAGGCAGAGACAAAGACGGAGAAGACAAGAAAGATACGTGACCAATCAAATAATTACACTCCGAAAGCAGGTTAGGCAAATAGTGGATTAATGTGCGTCTTAGATTTAAAATTCTGTATCCGCGACCATGCAAGGCTACTTTCACAGCTTATATCACGAATTCACATGAGCGTACGTTCCCGAGCTTACAATCTCAAAATATTTTTCCGTGCTTAGAATGTACCAGCGTTAGATGTTCCTGCTTCTACCGAAACGTCTCCCCGAGTGCAAGAGACCTCTGTACTATCCACATCTTTCCAAGTGCCAGAGACTTCTGGACTACCCACTTGGACTGAATTTGAGTTTCCCAGGTCTCGAGTTCGTCTTCAGGAGATCATCAGCTACGGTTTCTACGGTCGAGTTGTCAAGGCTAAAGCAAACGGGATCCTGAAGGAAGGGGAAAGCACCACAGTCGCCGTCAAGATCTTGAGGGGTGGGCCACATAATTTCAATCTCTCAAAACGAGTAGTTTACTTCAGTGAAACATGCAAAAAAAAAAAAGACAACTGGAATTTCTAATGAAACATCTGTACGTTCGACAAATTTCATCATCCACATTTTCTGACTGGACAGTAAAACAGGGTCCCACTAACCCTTCCTTTTTTCTTTTCTTTTTTCTTTTCCAACCTCAGCCGCATAATGATATTTTCCCAGAAAGTTTTTGGTTTAAGCTAAAACTATGGAGTTCAATTTTGTTTTCAATGTCAGGTCACACAAGCACCTCCGACTTTAAGAAGGAGTTAGAAATCGTGAAACACCTAGAGAAACATCCCTGTGTTGTTTCGTTTCTTGGTTGTTGCACAGATAAAGGTAGGATTTCTGTTGAATATTAGCTAGCCTTTTTATTAACATTCTTAGTATCCCATCTAGGTTTCCCCCGCTGTTAGTACAGTCAGCTGTGCAGCAGCCGGCCACGAGTCTCTTCCAGATATGGGTCTATTTAGGGCAGCGCCTCAGGTTTCCTTTAGCTATTAGGTAGTTAGGCTGCTTTCGAAACTGATGTCTGGAGATAGGTCTAGTTTCTCACTCCATTGGCAATGCGTGGAGACGAATAAGTCGTAGCTCTGGACACCTGCTTAGACACTGCCTTACCTCTTCAAAAATATGTCTAGCAATGTCCCGTGGTACAGGTCTGCCTTTGTTACAGTTCCCATGCACAGGGAGAGAGCATAGAGACAAACCAGGTTGTCCTTCGTATTCCCCGGTATTGTCCAAACATTTAAGCTGGCGCCGGCAGATTGTAGTGGGAAGGGGATCTCTGTTGATCTTTAAAGATGATACGGTTGCAGTTTGTAGCAAAGCTATTGCGAACTTCGAGATGTTTGGTCAAAACTCACGATTCACAGACACACAGAAAAATGGAGGTATGGTGTTTCGAAGATCGCAAGCTTGCAGTAAGAGGGTTAGGATGAATTTTTTTTGGATTTCCCCTGTAGATATTATACTGAAATGCAAATCTTCATTAGGTAACCATCGTGTTTATACATTTGTTGTAATTGATTGAAGACCCTTTCTACATGATAATGGAGTACGTTCCGAATGGCACCCTGGAGGCCTACATCACGAAGAAACGAGTGGCCTGGACCGAAGCAAATCTTACCACTGGACTAATGAAGGAAGCCATGAGCCCCATTCGAATTCTTATGTTCGCTTTCCAAATCGCTAGTGGAATGGAGTACTTGTCTTCCATGAACGCAAGTATCAAAATAAAGCGGGTAGTGAACAAGTATATTTTGATATTGAGAAAATAAGGAAACGCAAAACATTTTTACCGTACAAGACTACAGTTTTGGAAATATCTAACAATACGAATTTTGTTTTGCCCTAAAACAGGTGACTTTTACGTAACCCGATTAATCAGAAACGATCTGTGTTGATATTCAAGTCAATTTAAATTTCAAGAAAATGATATTTTTAAAATTAGTATTACGTTCCAATGTGTTGGCCTATTTCTTTACGGGGTGAATAAAGACCCTTAGTTCTTTCAGCAGTTGGTACATCGTGACCTTGCTACTCGAAATGTCCTTCTTGGTGAAGGCATAACCTGCAAATTGTGTGACTTTGGCTTGACACGTGACGTCACAAGAACTGGGCAGTACAAACAGACATCCGAGGTATTTGTACTTTTGACTTTTATACTCTTCCTGGCACTTCAGGGACAAAACTCCAAAATAACGTTTAACATTTTTGTACATTTTCATTTCAATTTATTGAGAGATTTTTATTAAGATGAAAATCACTTGATATGTTCCAGAATGCAGTTCCTTTTCGCTGGATGGCTCTTGAGTGTCTTTGCCACAACACTTACACAACAAAAAGTGACGTGTGGTCATTTGGTGTTCTTCTGTGGGAACTGGTCACGCTGGGTAAGTATAAAACGACATAAGGACTATAAACACACGTGTATAGAGTACCGAAGTGTGACGTCACTGTGTGCCAGAAAGTGCAGTGCAAACGAATGGAGTACGCGCGCGTGTTGGTTCACGCGCTGGTTCTCGCGCTAGTGCCTTTGACACACTCATTGTGCGCGTGACGTATTCACTTCGGTACTGCCAGCAGAAACCTCTCTTATCTCGCCAACTACCTTGTACCCCTCAAGAGACCCGACCATGATCCGTTGGGCTGCTGATGCAAATGTGATACCCCTTTGTTCAGTCTGACTCTCCAGATTTCCTGCTTCTCTAAGGTTCTGTACTTACTAGTAATTTATTTCATTCAGCTGGTTTAGCTGACATCTTTAATCATTTTCTCCATACAGGTGCACAACCCTACACAGACATGTCTTTAGAGGCCGTGGTTATCTATCTTCTTGAAGGATTTCGTCTTCCAAGACCTGCACATTGTGGAAAAGAAATGTGAGAAAATTCTTGACAATTAAGCAGTACATCGCAGAAATTAAAGACTTTTTTGCTCATTGTCAGGGATTGAACTTTTAAGAACAATGTTTATGACCAAAACTAGAAGCCTTCTTAATTGCTTATTCACAGTTATGACTTGATGTTGGCGTGTTGGAATACTGATCCCGAATTAAGACCAAGCTTTATTGACCTTCGACAAAGACTGGACTATCTTTTGGAGTTCTACCCGGTAGGTTTGTCGGTCATTTTGATCGCTGCAAGAGTCAAATAAACCAGCTCCTATTTCAATAAAACTGTCATTTCTTTGGACGAAGGAGGACCCATGTTCTTTGTCATAAAGCAAACTTGAAGAGTGATTGCAAGATTTAAGGTTTTTGAGGGTGTCTTCATTCATTTCCCATTAAAGTTTATTTCAGTAGAGTTTTTCATTGAGTACTAGATGCAGATGATTTTTTTCAGAACAGTGCGCAACAAAACCAGTGTTTTTATGGTTGACTCATCTGTCATTGTAGACTGCATATCAGTCCACTGTATAATTACAAGTCTTATTCTCACATTCTGTTTTGACACAGGATATCCTGGACATGACCCAGTTTACGGCTGATCTGTACCTCTACCAAAACCCCTTGGCACAAACCTGTCTCATCCCGGAAGATAATCAGCAACTCAGTGGATAATTAGTTTCTCATGGGAGTCGTCTATTATGGTCATTGAAACTGTTACTCGTTTTCCAGTGAACGACGGTCACTATCAGGGCGTGTCATGATCGGAACTAGGATTTGAATTTGGGATTTGCTTAGGAGCCGAGAACTGTTATTATAATTTCGATAAAGTTTCTTACGGTTAGCCAACAAATCCCAAAACAAGTTCGAGGTGAAATAGATTATGTTCTGCTTTTATAAATGTGAAGAGAATGCATTGTAAAACTATTTCATGTAAAAATGCCACTGCATCTATGTCGAAAAGATGTACGGCTTAAATGGAATTTTTTTAGTATAGTGTTAATGTTATATAAAAAGAGAAGATAGTTCGAAGTGTGTACTCACCCGGAAGATACGGTACATTAGGTTATCTTGGTTTTAAAAATGCGAAGAAGTGTGATAGGAATGTTAAAAAAAGGTGCCACAGCACATGTTATGATCAACACGATACGGAGTTTGTAACAAAGCCATTATAATCACTTCCAACAAGTTGGAAACTTCAATAATATGTTAAACAAGGAACGCTCATAAATTCAATTCAAGGATTTGGCTTCAGTTGGCAGTGCATTTTCCAAGAAAACATACAATCATTGTAAAATCCAATTTAAATACTTTTCTTGAAAACCTTGGTTCAATCTCAGAATCGCGTATCACTCAGCTCACCAATCCGAAATGATCCAGGCGATGACATTTTTGATGACGCACTTTTCGACATCCAAAGCCAATAAAGCACGAAAATGTATTTTAAAGATGCATAGAAAAAACTTAAAATAAGCTCAATTGAAATACAAAGGTGCATATTAATACGAATTGCACGCCCCTTTAAAAATCTGACGAAAATTGGGTTTGAACAGCTTTATAACGACCAAGCTTAAAACAACATTGCTAAGGAAATATGAGATGAAAGAGCCCAAACGAACAAAAGAGAACTCAGATTCATGTCCAATTTTAAATTTTATTGACGATGTCAATATATTTATAGCCAATATTTCAGATTATCTGAGGCCCTAAGGCTCCTATGAACATCTCCTATACCACTGACATCCGCTGTGCACGCTCTCCCTGGCTTGTCTCAATTATTTTAGTTTAGCTCAAACGCCACTTCAAGCCACTTCACTTGTAACTCAAGGAATGTTGCAGTGATCGTGTTGAATACTGTTCCTCTCCAAATGCCCCCCCCACCTGCACGAAACACCGTATACTTATGAAATACTCTTTCCACAGGATTCATTCTCACCGTATTTGTACTGTTACATTGCCAGTTAGTGAAAAGTCATTTTAGATGAATGACAATATTGAAATTGCGAACAAGACGAATTCGAATAAGCACTCTCTCCAAGAGTTAGTTCAGCATTTCAAAAGAGAAAGTCATATGGAAACAAAGCATACGCACCAGTCCACGTAGGGTCGCGCTGATAGGGCAGATCGCCACTCTGCGACGTGGGCATCCAAATGATCTCGGATGTGTTTCATTTTGGGCATGCGCTTTAGCTCCAAAAGCGAGATTTTACTCGAGGTACCTCCGGGAACAGTTCCTTTCAACCTACACCAATCTAAACTTCTAGTTGCAACCTGTCATACGTTGGATAGCAGAGAATTCCCATATGAGTATCTTTTAGCTCTGAGTAAAAAATAAATATGCAAAGATTAGTATGAAATTCAAGTAAACGTGAATAGGCTGAGTTTAATCATTACTAAGGTCACTAAACATGAAAACAGAATTAGACAGAAATGATGGTTGATAGTGGAACTGATTTGGATTTAAATAACATTTTACTAAAGTGACATGTTTGTCATTTTGTCTCTATGTTCATTGCTGAAGCGACAAAGGATCTCTGCATTTCCTAGTTTGTATACTGGTTTCCATGAGAGGTTTTCACCTCAAAATAACATCATGCCTGTACAATGCATTTCAGATTATTCCAAGGGATGTAAAATAATTTCCGATCGCTTTTCACTCTGTCCTGCACTGTTTAACTTGAAAACATGTCCTCATTTTTTGTTCTGTTTTGTGTCCATTATTTTTATGATTTATGTTTATTTCTTCCTGGTTTTTGTTCATTATAAAAACTATACGTTCGTATTTCCTTTCCTTGTTTTGTTCTGTTTATCCCCTCTTATTCAGAAATGCAAACTTACTGAAAGGTCACCAGGTTTATAAACTATAAGCGCTCATCAGCAACTCTTTCACTTTCAGAGTTGCATGAAATTCATGAATGTGTAACAGTCATTTTTATCTGTCGATGCTGGTGCATATATTGGCTAGTAAAGTACTTTCCGTTCGCCACTTCATGACAAGAACAAGATGGAAACACTGGGTTTGTGTCTGTCAGTAGTGATTCTATATTTCGGACCTGCTTCAGGTGAGTGTTGTAAATAGCTAGTAATTGTCGTGAATAGTTAAGCAAATAACATTTAAAAGAAGAGATCGTTGCAATAAATTCTGTTGAAAATTTGTCTTTATAATTCTGTTGTATGAAATTGGTATTTGATTATTGAAAAGGTAACTGAATCTCGCAAAGTGTACTCAATGAAGGCTTTGCTTTAAAACCATGTTTCCCACTTTTCGTAGCCAAACTTTGAGTGCCATTTCAAATATCCATATGCCATAACACTTCACAGATCTGTTTTTAATGGCAAAGCCCGGCGGCGTGAGATGAGAATGGTTATTTCAAAATGAAGACAACTGTACATATTATTGTTATGTACCATTTGGCATTTAATTTCCGGAAGCTATTGTCGTGCAGAGCTCGAGATTTGTTATGTTAACCAACAAAATAATGCAAATGAGTGAATAATGGGCGACTTGAAATATTTCAAGAACCTGTCAGTTGAATGGTTACATTTCCGTAAAAACTCTTGCCCTTGTAAAAACTCATTGCAAATTTCAATTGAAAATAAATTCCGGCCAAATTTGTGAGAAATCTGTTTCCATACAAGTTGTCTATGTTGTAACCTGATTCCCTTCTTTAGTTCTGTTAATTTTGAATTAAAGTTAGTCGCAAGCTGCAATCTTGAATTATTTTGTTCACGGGTCCGCGCAAAGATGTTCATGATGACATGTTTTGTTATTTTCTCATTTCCAAATGGCCCCCACCGTGTTAAAATAACTTCACAGAAATATCTGCTCCCTAATCTACTCCTTATACCGTGGCTTCGTCCGGCTTTTGCTAAGGAAACGATTCCAGGAAACACACACAAATTTTGTCCCTTTTTCCCCTATCTTCCTGTAGGGTTCGATGGAGCAGTTAATTTAACTCAGCATCCTTCACCTGCATTCGTCAATCATCATGTAACGTTCACATGTACTGCGTCATGCTTTGCTCATGGTTCATCAATCCAGTGGCATCTTAGTTCTCATCTGATATATAACCAATCCACGACAGTCAATACCCGCTCTAACCACGACAATGTGCAATGCTCTAACATGAATGGAGATTTTGTTTTGACCCTGACCAATGAACATGTTGGACTCAATGTCAGCTGTGAGATAATAAGTCCAAATGGACCAATTGTAAAGTCTTTCTTGATAATTCAAGGTAATAATTCGTATTACTTTCATATACTGTCTGCATTTAATGTGTTTGTTACATAATGTATGCAACATTTGCTATTGAAACTTGGTAGATTGAAATGTTATGCCCATATCCAGTGACTATATGTCATCATGAAATAGGACTCATGTTTCCTGGCAAGATGATTCATGTTTTAAGATATCGGCCAACGGTATTGTGTTCGAGTCCATCACAAGTTCCTGGCCCTGTAAGTCCATCACATGTCATTTAGTCGTAAGTCAATTCACAATCTATTTGAATGAACTGTGACAAAAGCATTCTTTTGTCATTGGTCACCCTGTTACTTATGACTGGCCTTGTGAAAGGACCTGTGATTGACTCAACTGCAGCACTGTCTGCCAAGCATAACACCACTACTAGTGAATTTCTGCAACCAGACGAATTTTTGTATGTAAAGATCTGTTCGGGGGAGTCACTGTGTAGGCTAAGTGCGATTCGTAGATACGTTTCTTATCTTCTCTACAATGTCATGTTCTTGAAGCCAAAGAGTTTTAAACATGTTTTCAGTGTAAGTTGCATTGATCTCCTGATGTGATTGGAATTTGTCTGTTCATATCTCCTATAAGTGTTGTATGAAGAGCTTGCTGTGACCCAGAAGCCCTCACCAGTCATTGTGGGTCAACCTGTAACATTTACATGTAACGGAACTTTCTACAAAGAAGAACCCATCATTGAGTGGTATCTTGATCCTCGTGTTCTTAACAAAACCACAAACAAGAGTTCCTCTCCAAACATACACCATCCTGACTGTGTTGATTTCTTGAGTGAAATTTCATTTACACCGGAGAGGGATCATGCTTGCCTGACCGTCAAATGCCAAGCGACAAGTCCTTACACAATTTTAATTGAGAATGCAACATTGGAGATACAAGGTGAGGATTTGTGCGCAACTTGAATGCTTTACTTTATTCTAGGGTAATAGGGAGAAGTCTGAGCAGCATTATTGTTAGAACAGACAAGTTACCTTGAATTTGGAATACAGGGACTGTGAGGGAGGCCTCCTATGTCCCGCTAAAGTGGTCTGGTTCCCAGAAACGGTTTGTTCTCACTTGTGGAAAATAGTTTAATAAATAAAGACACAGTTTGGTCGGGGTAGGTGAAGCTAAAGGCCAAGTACAAAAATTTGTACAAACGGCTTTAAAATCTTTCCCTGATAAAATAATTGCTTGTTTTTTTTTATAATTACGTGCAATGTTCTCTCGTCGTGCAAAATTGGCAAATGTCTGGATAGGCCTCTATCCCTTAGTGAAAACGTGGCTATGACAAAATAGACTCACAAAAACCCAAGAGTTTTGCTCTTAAATTTGAAAAGTTCTTGATGCCTTAAATCAGTGACAAACACAGGTCTCGTTTTACTCATTACGTGGCACGCTTCGTATTTAACATGGAGTCATTGAAGAATTTTAAAATTATATATTAAATAGCTCCACCAACGACAAGCGAAATGTGTGTATGGAACTCTCAAGAACACGTCTGTCATGTCTGCGAGAACTGCAGCAAAAATGCCAGTGTGGGTGAGAGTTTGGGTCTTGAATGTACTGCCAAGGGTTCGATTCCCGTCAGTCACCTGGCTTGGCAGGTCAAAGACACCATGGGCGGGTTGATGGTACACCCTAACACGGATTACTCCGAGACATACAACGACGCCTCTTGGAGTTGGGATGTTATCAGCAAAGCCAAGGTTGACATCAGCGCGGGGGAGAGATTCTTTGTTGTCACGTGTCAGGTCTTGCATCCTGACGACACGATTTTCACAGAGAAGCATCTCACTGTGTTTGTGGAAGGTGATCAGCCGGAAGGTAATCTTTTAATCAATATACCTACCGTATCGTAAAATAATAACTTCACCAAAGTACACGGTTAGAGAATGTCACAAACAAACTGACAGAATTGAACAACTCCATCAACTGATGAGGGCTTCCGATTGGCGAGATCTTTTAAACCCATGGAGTCAGCAGAGCTGAACTTATAAAATTTAGAATTCAGTAATGGACTTCGGCTCCATCTCAGGCTTCAACTCTTCTTTTTTTACTTCCTGACTTTGAAATTGTTAGCGCAACAGTAAGTCTGATAGTGCCACAAAACATCAATTTAGATGCAAAAGAGCGAAACATTACAGTACTTCAAACGCTTCAGGCCCTCAATCAGAGATTGGTTTCGGAGACGAAGCCTGAGACGGAGACAAAGTTGAGTATTGGAAAACGGCCACATGTGTTTAATATAACCTTCTACAGACAATTGGTGTCTTTTCACTCACTGTGAAATTTCTCATACTGTTGACTGAAGGTTAAATAGAAAGTTGGGATTGTCTCCAGTTTATCTCTAATTCATTTTTCGTGTAATTGGGAATATGGCTTGTGAGTTGGGAAAATTAGTCGTTAAAACTAAATACTACAAGTCCATTGTTGGACATCACAAAATTAACACTGCATTAACAGTCTTGAAATCTGCAGGAAACGCTTGGAAACTTGGAGTCGCCATATCCAATGCCTTGCTTCTTCTCATAGTCATTTGTGTGTGCTGCATCGTTTTGACGAGGATTCAAAAACGGAGGAAGAACAAGAAAAAAACGAGCGACAGACAAACTCAAGATGAAGACACCCATCCAATGATCACACAACCTGTTCAAAAACAAGTACACTTTGCTTCTTCTAGACTCAAAGAGTCGAGTCACTCTAAATTAGTTAACCATATTTACATTACATCTGATTTCTTTTTGATCACTTGTGCAAATTGCAACAGTGCATAATAATCTTTGTCATTAGTGTGCAATAACTTCAGCCGTGACAGGCAACAGATTTTACAGAATACGTTTATCTTTATGGTTTGCTACGATTCAAAACGTCTGTTTATTTCAGTGGTTTCAAAGAAATTTCAAAACAATGTCTGAAAAATTAATGATTATTTGAAAAATCAATGACTAATTACCAATAACGTCGGTCGAGGCATCACGTCGAAACAGTAGATAAAAATGATGTCAAACATGCGTGTCATTTGGCCTCCCATTTTTTCACTTGTTTCAACAGCAAGGAGGAAACCTTAGACCAGGTGTAACACCCGACCAAGTATCTGGGGCCTTTATTCCCGAATGGGAATTCCCGCGGCAAAGACTCAAGTTTCAAGAAATCATTGGGGACGGTAACTTTGGCCAGGTGCACAAGGCCCTAGCCAAGGGAATAGTACGCCATGGCGTCGACACTACGGTTGCGGTTAAGACCATCAAAGGTTACTCCTCTACGTTAAAATGTCCAAGTCTTCTGTATCGGACTCAATTTTTTGTAATGTCCCTTAAACATGTGAGCTCCATGTGCATTGTAACGTCCGTGAAATGTCCTTGGTTTCCGCAAACAGCTGTGAAACTGACAGTCAAGTGTGGTAAATTCTTTTCTTTTCGTTATTTTCCGACCTTAAAGCTTTCCTCATTTACTGAGTAAATCAATCCTTACTTGTGTCATTACACCATATTATTACTCAAGAACATTTTGTGCGTACCAACGTGAGCCTGAGCTCCAACTGTTTGATATACGGAACAAAACAAAGTAGGCCTACCAACCAGAAATAATTGCCACGTATAGGTAAAGACAAACTACGAACAAAGGATCCCTTGACTTATCGAGACCCAGATGACTTCTGTGCTTAGAGATTAATTTGGTAATGACATTTATAGAAGTCAATCAAGTTGCCTTTCTTTTAAAGGTGAGAGTGGCTCCTCAGTGTGGTCTGACTTCAAAAATGAACTGGGTATATTCAAAAACCTAAAGCAACATCCTTACGTTGTCTCCATTCTCGGCTGTTGTACGATGACAGGTAAACTGATGTCTTAATTACCCTATTATTTCAGATACCTTACTTTAGGAATCCTGGCTCTGTATTTGGTGGTTCAGCATATTTATAGGGCCTACTCCATCAATGCAACCCCATGTTACACTGTAAACCAGTCGGCTACCTCACGATCAATGACACTTCATTTTAAAATCACATTTTTCAGAACCTTTCTGCATTATCATGGAGTACGTCCCTAACGGGACACTGCAGGCCTACGTCACTCAGAGACGTCTAGCTTGGACCAAAGCCAAGCTCAGCAACACTGCGCCAAGGGAAGCGTTGGGCGCCGTGCATATACTCTCATTCGCTTTCCAGATTGCCAATGGCATGGAATATCTCTCTTCCATGCACGTATGTATAGAGTTTAACAAAACGTCATGTTATCTCCTTTGCTGTGTTACTGCATAACAGATCATAATTCTCCATACAGTTTCATTCACCTTCACCAAAATGCACATCCTAGTGGTAAAACTTGCTTTGCTGTATAAAAACTAGTCAATTTGAACATTTAATGTATTTGTTTTGGTTTCCTGAGATCAGTATTTAATAGAGTACATATGCTTCTCAAATAAAACGAAACACGTTCGAAAGATTTCCTTCAAATGACAGACTTGATTTCAAAACTTTCTGTTGCGTGCCATTTTCCACAGTTAATTCATCGTGACCTCGCCACGCGGAACGTGTTATTGGGGGAGGGGCTCGTATGCAAATTGTGTGACTTCGGCTTGGCTCGTGACGTCACAGGAAGCGATCAGTATTGCATGTTATCTGGGGTCAGTAATGGTTGTAACTTGACAAAATTAAGGTACCTGTACGATCTTATCTGTTTTCTCTTCTTTTGTTGAGTTTAACACCGAATTGTCCCCGATTCCAGCTATATTCTCCGGCTCTCTATACCAGATTTTTCCTGACACTATTTTACAGAGTGCCGTGCCCGTTCGTTGGTTGGCCGTGGAGAGCCTCCTTACCAACACCTACACCACTAAGAGTGATGTCTGGTCCTTCGGAATACTTCTCTGGGAGTTAGTGACACTTGGTGAGAAGAGCCTTTTAACTGGTTGCTGGTTCGGCTCACTATATTGAAATTTGTTGAAATCAGATCCAATCACATTTAGGCAGAGGCTTTTGTACCAGTGGCACAGATGCTGATATAAGTGGTGACGATGGAATTTTCAACCAAAAAAACCTCCATTTTGCTAGGCAACAGTTGACCTCTGAGCACAGGCACTCCCCAGTGATGTAGTCGAGTAATTTTTGAGAANTGGTACATGCATAAAGGTAAGATTACAAAGCAACATGATGACTTCTGACCATCACTGTTTGCTTAAAATTAACTTTTTAGGAGAAAAGTACTCGGCCGAGTACTTTTCTCCTTAAAACTTAAATTTTACACAACTGGGAGTGTCTGAAGTCTTACATTTATTTTGTAATCTTACCTTTGCACATTTACCATCAAATGCCTGTGCACTCTGGCTTTATTCCCTCTTACCCAGTTCAGTATTTTGCGGAGAACGTTGGTACTCGAAAAGTACTCGACTACAACACTGGCACTCCCATTAACTCTTTCAACCGATCTCAACAGGTGCACTTCCCTATCCTGACATGTCACCCGATGTCATCATTGATTCCATTCGGAATGGACTTCGACTTTCCAGACCAGCCCACTGCGGAACCGCACTGTAAGAATTGGATGGATGAAAATTACTTTCTATAACATTGTATTGTGTGAACAGTTTATTGGGACTACATCTTACATCTCTTGTGTCTGTTCTCAGTGTGACTTTTCCCTGCCGGAATCGACTTTTTCATCTAAAACAGTACAATAAGGTCACGTAGATTGCTATCGGGGAAGGGTTGGCTGGTTTCTATTTGTTTTTGCTATAGTGTATACGATGTACAATTTTAGACAAATGAGATTTACTTGATTTCAAAATGTCAAAATGGGAATTCGTGGTATAAAAATTGGCGATCAGAAATGATAATGTTAAGGGTGCTATTTGCATTTTTATATCAATGCAATTATGTATACGTGTGTCATCCAAACTGTGGTTATTTCAGGTATAAATTGATGGCGTCCTGCTGGAAAACATCCTCCAAATCAAG